TTTACAGAAGGGTTTCGAGATGATATCACTTCATACCATTGCCCTTCAGAATAAAGAATAAAGACCATGCTAATTAAGGATCCATGGTGCCCTATTAAAACCCAACTGAAAGCTGAACGGAATATTCCATTTTAGTATTAAGGCGTCGAACGTTTTCCGGGAATAAAAGTTTCGCACCCTAACGTCTTTCAAAGACAATTGCGGACGACTGGGTCGAGTTATTAAGTGTAATGAAAACGAGGTCGTAGCTGCAGGCACGTGCCCTGTGAGAACTTCAAGGGATTTGAGAAACCTGCCCGTTCAAATTACTTTCCTCCCAACCTGCTTTCCTTTTATTAAAATATAGTATAGTAATAAAGCAAAAACAATCGATCTGCGCTTTTGTATTAGCCTGCGAACCCAAATAAATTTCCTCTTCGCTTCTCATTCTCATCTCCACCAAAAGTAATAAAAGTAACTTGCCGGGTAGAGCCGACCCTGATACAAGTCTACATTCGCAGGCAAAAGGAGAGGGGGGTTAAAATTAACGTAATTTTCAAAAAGTTATGTTTGCATGCATTTAAAATCTGTGTCGTATTATACTTACATGCATTTTAAAAATAAACGCGGATCTGGATTTGACATCACATGCACAATGGTTTCTACAGCAAAGCCACAAAAGGCATTTCTTTATGAGGAATGATCTCCCGGGTATGTACACTTCAATGGCTGTTTATGTCCATTTTACCGTTTTATCAAATTCCCAAACAAATCCTTACAATTTTGGCTTCAAGGGCAAGGAGGCTGTAGTGTGCCTGGGTATCCTGTGCTGCAAGGAGGAACGTCCCAGGGGACAGAGGAAACGGTGTTTGTTATGAGCCATGGGACCAAGAGAACAGCCTGCGATATGATTCCACTGATCGCAGCTCTGTAATCTAAGGTTGCGCAGCCCTTCATATAGTCTTCATAGAGAAGCTTCATTTTTAAAATGTTAGAAAGATAGGGACTTGGAACGAGTCTGCACACGCCACTTCGCTAGCCTGTCTATGTACAATTCTCTTGTCTTTTTTTTCCGACGATAGGCCACTTCCGAGGTCGAAAACCACTCACTTTCAAATGAGGCCAAGCGCAGAAAACCTTTCTTGTGAAAACGAGTTTGCATGAGAATGAAAACTCATTTCCATATCGCAGGCTAAACACTTAACCTCGTTTTGATACAGAGGCCCGGGGAAACTCGGAAATGACCTATTCGATTTCCCACGTGGGCGAACGCGCCGAAAACGAAGGGGGACCGCGAAATAGAAGAAAGGACCATCTCTGTTTTCTTATTTCTCAAACCCGAGCCCCCTTGCCCTTGCGGTCAATAAATCTCCCGCGGTTTTTATTTTCATACGCTTGCTCGACGACCTCTAATAGAGAAAGTGGAGGGTCTGTGAACCGGTCTCCGGAGTTCTCTGGGTAGTTTAGGCTAGGGTCAGTCTTCAGCCTTGGGGTGTCTCGACATCTTGCTGCGCCCTCGGTGGGGAGTACCGCGGGCGCATCGAGACACCCAAGTCTGGAGGTGGAGCCTATGGATCGCCTTCCCCCAGAAAAAACATTTCTATATTCCAATTTCGATCAAGGAATCAAGCGTTATGTCTTGTCATTCCATGCAACCCTTGTAAATGGTAGCCTGAATTTCATACGATTGCTTCGAGTCGTTTTCTCCTCTCGAAGTAATCGTCTGAAATTCAGGCTACGTAAATGGGCCATTTGCACGATGACGTGTTATTACTACTAAGGGCCTGTTTACACGGAGGTGGGGGACCACAGGTAGGTGAGGTAAAATTTGGCGGGTCACCCCACCTATCATGTAAACGTGATCAAACTAAAATGAGAGGTAATGTGGACAGGCGGGATACCCCACCTTAGCGGGTTACCTCACCTACCTGGGGTCCCCCACCTCCATGTAACCAGGCTCTAAGACCAGAATTCACTTCGTTTTTCCTTTCATATTTTAATTTGGTAGTCCCAGTGCGGTTTAGATAACAAAAGCCTAAATTTGCACAAGAAAGCAATACTTTGAAGGATTCTGGTTGTAATAGCAAAATGACGCCATCGTGCAAATGGCCTATTAAATCGGTTGATTGTTAATAGGTCATTTTACAGTTATGGATGGAAGCGAGGCTGAGGGTGACCTTGTTTTGATACAAACCTTCTTTGCTTTGTTATGGAAATTGTTCTTAAAAAATACTGGTTAGCATAAGAATAATTTGATTTACATAATAAAGCGGTAAGGTTTGTATCAAAACAAGGTCACCTTCAGCCTCGCTTCCATACACAACTGTAAAATGGCCTATTATTATTATCAACTGTTTAAAGAAATACATGAAAATTACAAGCCAGTGAGGTAAGTTTATTTACAACAAGCCCTATCAGCTTTTGAAAATACAGAATTAAACATCAGACAATACTTGTCTAACGAAACAGTGATGAAGTTGACCAGCAGTAGACTGCCCTAAAGAGCTCTAACACAAGAAAACATATATTTCACAATCACTATTTAGTTTTCACAACCTTCACCTTATTAAATTTCTTGAATAACAAATACTATTTTCCTTTTTTATTTTAATCGAATAGAAACAATCCAACACGTCATGTATCTGCGTTTTTGTCGACACTTCAGACAAAGATAAAACTAGATTCAAGAGAGCAAATAAGATAAGCCAACAAATAAAGTCACTTTTGTGACTCAAGTCTTAGAAAGGTGACCAAGTAAAATGACAGAAAAAACGAGATATGTCTGATACGTGTCGGCAAAAATTGCTACATTTCTTACATACAAGTGATATTTCAAGCACATAAAAGATAACAACATTCATATATGCAATCTGGGTACAAACTTTACAATGTTTACGAAATTAGAGCAGCATAGTTGCAAAAAATAGGTATGATATCTGCAGTATAAAAGTATATATATTGTCAAGTACAAATATGCAACAAAGCAGTCAATGATTAGGTGCTGTTTTTTAGTTGATAACTGAGCGAGCCTGGAGCAATAGGCCAATTTCCGAGATCCACACTCTCACTCTCAAAACGAGGCCAAGTGCAAAACCTTTCTTGTAGAAATGAATTTCATTTGCTTGAAAATAAATAATCATATTCATATCTATGGTTTTGCACTTAGCCTCTCTTTGAAACAGAGGCCTTGGGCAACTCGGAAATGGCCTATTTGAAAATCACTGGAGCGAAAACAAGGCAAACGGGTAAAGAACTTCCATATTCATAACTTATTTGCCTCTTTAAAATCCATAACCATCACCGGAAACCTAACTGGTATCTTCATCGGAATTTGGGGAAGACCAGATCTCTTCAAATAAACAGCTTCTCAATTGTTTTTTTGTGTGCTACCGAATTGCGAAGTTCAAGTGTGCTACTGAAATATCATTCAATATTTTCCGAAATCTACTTTGACGGGATACATTCAAATCATTCCCTTGATGAAAATACCTTGACTATAAAAGAATTTGTTTTGCGAAGTTAATAGTAACAAGTTAATAGCCTGCAGACGGAGGTCTCTTATTTCAATCTCTATGTAGGCTAAAGGTTACAGCAACTGCTGTAAATGTATTCTTCCAAAAAATGCACTGTATATAATCTAGTATAAACTTGTCCAACAAAGTCTTTGAAAAACAACTAATATATGGTACATTTTAATTGATAAACAATTTTCTGGGGATTGTAATGTGCAGCAAACCAAGAGCGAAACCAATTTTAACCTTTCATGCCCCAACATCCGGGAAACTGCCCATCTACCCCTCCCCTAAGCCAACATTTTGCCCTAAAAGAGAAGCAAGTGTTAATGTTGGCTTAGCGGGGGGGGGGTAGGTTGGCAGTTTCCAAGAAACTTACAATGATCCCAAATTTTCCACACTGATTTCCATACACTTATTATAGAATAAATTGAAAGAATGTGTTTAAAGATCAAAGCATTTTCCTTTAAATGATCATACCATTAATTCTCGTCACCCTTTCTCTTGAGTATGTATAGATATTGTGAGAAGAAAATTGATGTTGATGTTGGTCACTTTTGGGACTTGGTAGCTCACTTATCCCTATAACAGTTGTAATCAAATGGTGAATTTGAAAAGTTATTTTGTCAATTTAATTCATTTTACATGTAGCAAAAACATTATTCAATGTATTATTCAATTATTTTTACACTTTAATTCTGCTGGTCAGAATCATAGAAATGAGGACAAAAAACTACAAATTTCGCGTGGCGAACAAAACGTCTTGAAAGTAATTTGCTATTATTATCTGTATTTGTTTATTTGTTTTTCTCTGCATTGTGATGACATCACGTTTGCATTTTCATAAATATTAATAATGATATGACGCTAGAAGTTAATGGTTAACTTTTTGCGTCTATGAACGACATTGTTATATAACCACAAAGTTGAAATCTACCAAGCGTCACTCGTACCCAGTCGTCTCTTATGATTCATACTCAGGTCAAGAGTCAAGGGGCAAATAAGAGAAGACTGGGGATGAATGTCAACCTCTTATGAGTCTTTGATGTAGTTCAGTTTGCTTTCTGGTTGTACTGCCAAGTCGGTATTTTTCTTTCATTTGGTCATTGCATTATGCACAATACCTAGACAATTTAAATTTATCCAAGTTGAAATCTGAGAACATCTGAGCAATGGAATTAACAAAACAAGAAAGCGCGGAAGAACTAGATGTCATAGACCCATTGTATCTGATGAAGAACGCAATTTAAAGCCTGGTAAAGTGGACTGACATGAAAACCCGCGTAAATTCTCCCTTATAATAGTGAGAAAACCCTGGCGTTTGTTTGTTTGTTTGTTTGCTTACATTTTTACCAATGCTGGATTTGTGCCTACAAATGCATCTAAATCTCTGAGGCGATTATAGTACAAAGTCACCCGTATCTAGAGTGCTTTCCTACCGTATCATCAAAAACCCTAGAACGTAGAAAAACGTACAAAAATTCAGTTACAAAAATAACTCGAAACTACTCATTTTGGTGATTTCTTGGTGGTTCTTCGCTGTGCCAGCAGCGAGGCATGAACAGGCTTTAGCCTCTTGTTGTCAGGAGAAGAGAGTGCGGAGAAGGTCGCCTTTACTGCCTCTTTGATTCTTGAGACACTGCTAACTTGGTGTAGTCTGATTTGAGGCAGCTGGTAGCGGCTTACAACCCAGGGATGTTGAAGAACCTGTATGGTGAAACGCAAATCAAGGTCAACATCCAAGAAGACAATGCAGCGAGATTACAGCATAACCTCGTTAACCTGAACTCCCCGAAAACACGAAGTAACTGCACTTTCCGTTCTGCTTAATTTTCCGATAAATTTAACTCAGCAAATCAAATTCTGGGAGTGTCGACAGTGTTATTTGCTTCCCTTGGGAGTTCGAGTAAGAGGGGCCTTCAACAGCAAAAAAGGTTAAATCCGGAGTCGAAACCTCCCCCGACAGCACTCTTTTTCTTTGCGATTAGCTTGGGTTTTCATAGCAACGATTTGTGATTGGCTGAAAGAAAGTCACGCCACTTTCTTAACCAATCAGAGGTAATATCAAAAGAACTTGTGACTCGCTTGCACGCGTTTCCCGTGCTTAATGCCCGCGACATGTATTTTACCCGAGTTCTGAGTGGTTCATTGGATTGCTGGTGACGCTTGCTATTGGAAAAAGTGCTAAGTTCGGATTCGGTTTAACATTACACCATCGCTGTTACAGGAACTGACTTAATCACTCCGCAAATTCGTACCCAGAATCAACCAAGAAATCCCTGAGATAACTATTCAACCCACTTTTAGAATCACGTCGAAAAGCTAACTAAAGTATCTTAATTCCGTGAAAAAATTTTTTTTACCTGTTTTGCCGTTAGTCGCAGATGCGGGTTTACATGAAGCATTTGTCTGACCAAGTCCTAAAGAAAAGGCAACATGATTATGAATAAGTATATTCCCATAAATTTAGTAATTATAGGGCTGAACGAAAATAACGAATTACATATCCAGCAATTGATATAATTAGTTACCTTGGCAACATCTGACATGCTGTCCCAGGCCCCTCCAACAAGGGAATACTTTCCTTCTCCTATTCTCGCCAAGATGACCGCTGCGGAATCTTCTGGTCCAACAGCAAATGGCGTTTGCCTATGAGAGAGATAAGGAATACATTTTAAAGATTTAACATGCAATCATATGCTGGGGCGTAATTTTACAAAGAGTTCAAGAAAATCTTTCTAACGCATGTTTTACCAACTGCAAACTATTATTTGGAACGTTTTCAAGGTAAACACAAAAAGCTTTATTAATAGGAATTGGGGAATTTCTGTGTTTGGAAACTGAAGTTAAGGCATTGTTGTGGACTGTTTACAGTAAACCGAATTTGAATAAGAAGGAATAATCTAAATGGAATCTAGTAGTGACTTATAACAAAATAACACCATCTTGAAAAAAGCCGTATTAAAACCAGTTTGACTGGGAAGGTCAGTGTTGTGTCGAATTGCATTATGGGATTGCTTTGGGGACACTGACACTTCTTTCATTGCCAATTACGTGGTTCAGCGGGAAAATGGGTCAAAGTTCGCAAACTAAAATAACCTCATAACGCAAATCAACACATCAACAACCCGATCATGAGCACAACTTCAAAATGGCCGATGGCTTACATCTTAGCCTGCATTGCAGACACCCTAAACCATCTGCTTATAGCCACACCAATGGTTTACGCGATACGTGGGCCGGTTGCAATGCAGGCTAGTCCAAACATTACACGTCCTTACCAGTTCCACTAGTGAAGAATCATAAAGGAACTTGAGGAAGACATTTTTTAGCGATGCACATCTACTAGTCTGCTACACAACTACACATCTACCGGAAATAGACTTTCTGTATTCTTGCCCCGTGGTTTTGCTTAAATTTTTGGGCAATTCGTCTCTATAAGTGTAAGAAATTTAGCAAATATAAACACATTTGGCAGCTAGCATCAAGGCAAATTAAAGGGGAAAAGGCCTCACTTCCGGTTGACGTGCATTGCTCAAAAACAGCATTGCTTAACCCTTTCCCTGCCAAATGTGACCAAAGGCAAATTCAACAAAAATCCCAAATTTCATTTCATAAAATTTTTAAAAACAAATAGCACCACATGAAAGAGCTTCCTAAGAGATTTCATTTGAATGGTCACTCCATAGGATTTTGTCCACAGACAAAAAAGTTAGAACTACATGACAAATAAATAGTACCATGTGAAAGTACTGCTAAAGAGGTTTCATTTGAGCGGTAGCACCATAGGATTTCATCCACAGAATCAAAAGTACAGTTGTAAGAACTACCTCACAAAACTACATCATTCACTCTGGCAGTGAAAGGTTTAAGTTCCCTATACCACTTTGTAACTTACCCAGCCAGCATGGTGTACAATAGAACACCAAGACTCCAGATATCACATGCAGCATCATAACCCTGTTTCTTTAGAACCTCAGGGGCCACAAAATTTGCTGTGTAACAAGGTGTCATCAGAAGGCCGTTCGTTGCTCGGATCTGCTTGGCAAACCCAAAGTCGACTATTCTTAGTGATTCTGCAGTGCCACTGTTATCTGCATACATGATATTGCTTGGCTTTAAGTCCCTGTGTACAACCTGTAACAACAGCAAGACATGAATTTATTTTTATGGCATAAGGAGTACTCCCAACTAATTAAGAACAGGTGTATGCATGCCGCTTAAGTTCTTAATCCTTGACCCTGGGAAAGAAATTAACAATTTATTGGTACCCTATATCTAATTTACCCTATGAACCCTTGGTATAATTTATTGGAAACCAAAAAATTGCACTCTTCAAAGAAAACTTGATAGTGTTGGTTTGGTTGAACAAGTCACTTTTATCTGTCTAAACTGAGAATATTTGAATAGTAGCTCAGTTCTTAAAAGTGGCTTAAGTCATCTGATATAGCTGAAACAATTTAAAAAAATCGTATCCAATGCTCAAAGGCACTCTATAGAATGATCACCACTGTATATGGTGCTCATTACCTAGTCCCTGTACGGCATTTTCCCAGTCCCTGTTGGTCAATTCATCTCAGTGATGTATCCAAGGCGAACAGGCCAATAAGAAAACAGATAGCAACTATAAGGTATAATAAAAAAGTTAAACATACCCCTTCCTCATGAAGGAATGCGAATGTGCTAGCAAGAGAGTACATTATCAGTGCAGCTTCTCTTTCTGAAAGACTCCTGTGTTTCAGTATTCTGTCCAAGAGTTCGCCTCCTCTCATCAGCTCCATGACCATGAACACGTTTTTACCATCATCATACACCTAGCAAAGAGAACAACAATGATACATGAGCTTAACCCTTGAAGTCCCAGTAGTGACCACCATCAATTTTCTCCTAACCATATCCATAGATTGTCAAGAGATCAGGTTATGAGAATTAATAAATTGATCACCTATTAGAAATGCTTTGATCTTTTATTATATTCTCTGAACTCATTCTTTAAGGAAATGTATAGAGATCAGTTTGGAGAAGTTGTATGTGGATATTGGGGCTTAAAAGGTTAATGTTTGCAATTCCAAGGAAGTCCATCTCTTTTTTCTTCAAACAGTATAAGACTAACGACAGTCACTTTCTGGGTACCAAAGTACAAGGGAACAAAAATGAAACATAAGTAGGTGGAGCACGATCGTCCAGGTGAATAGACTCTTGAATAGGACTGTTGTTGACAGTGACTGACATTTTAACAACCTGTGTGGTGGAAATCTTCAGAGTCAAAGTGAGTTGTATCACATCAGTTGATGATATTTAACTCTAGTTACTGACCTGATACCATCAACTGACAGGGTATAACTTACTTTGACTCTGGAGATAACTACCGTAACTACCGCACAGGTTGTCGAAATATCAGTNCCTCATGAAGGAATGCGAATGTGCTAGCAAGAGAGTACATTATCAGTGCAGCTTCTCTTTCTGAAAGACTCCTGTGTTTCAGTATTCTGTCCAAGAGTTCGCCTCCTCTCATCAGCTCCATGACCATGAACACGTTTTTACCATCATCATACACCTAGCAAAGAGAACAACAATGATACATGAGCTTAACCCTTGAAGTCCCAGTAGTGACCACCATCAATTTTCTCCTAACCATATCCATAGATTGTCAAGAGATCAGGTTATGAGAATTAATAAATTGATCACCTATTAGAAATGCTTTGATCTTTTATTATATTCTCTGAACTCATTCTTTAAGGAAATGTATAGAGATCAGTTTGGAGAAGTTGTATGTGGATATTGGGGCTTAAAAGGTTAATGTTTGCAATTCCAAGGAAGTCCATCTCTTTTTTCTTCAAACAGTATAAGACTAACGACAGTCACTTTCTGGGTACCAAAGTACAAGGGAACAAAAATGAAACATAAGTAGGTGGAGCACGATCGTCCAGGTGAATAGACTCTTGAATAGGACTGTTGTTGACAGTGACTGACATTTTAACAACCTGTGTGGTGGAAATCTTCAGAGTCAAAGTGAGTTGTATCACATCAGTTGATGATATTTAACTCTAGTTACTGACCTGATACCATCAACTGACAGGGTATAACTTACTTTGACTCTGGAGATAACTACCGTAACTACCGCACAGGTTGTCGAAATATCAGTTGCTGTTAGCAACAGTCCTATTCAGGACTAAGATCACCCAATCATTCTTCACCTACTTATGAAATGACTCCTGGGTTCAAATCTTTCAGAAGAATGAAACAGCACAACTAACAATACAATGTGATTTACTGTCAAGAAAAGTGGGTAACGAGAGAATGGGAAAAACATATCTGTTCAATAGAGAACTTACATCTCTCAGGTGAATAACGTTTGGATGGTTTCCATACCGCAAAAGTATCTGATGAAAAATAGCACTGCATGTCAGCATAAGCTAAAACAAATAAACAATGACATGTAAAACCAATACTTGTGTTAAAATATGCTTAACCCCCCATCAAGAGTGACCAACATCAATTTTCTCCGCACAATATCCATATATAATCAGGGTAAAGGGTAAGAGAATTAACAAAATAATCATCCAAGAAATAATCCGGTGATCATTTATCAAACCCTCTCCACTTGTTCTTTAAGGAAATGTTAGCCTATGTATAGCCAAACCCTCCCCCAGACAAAGAAAAAACAGAGAGAGGGAGCATCTACGAAAGGCTAAGAGTGATGTCACATAACACGATTCGTGCGAGATGTAGTCATGCTCCCACTCTCCGTTTTTGCTTTGTCAGGGGGGAGGGTGCAACTGCACGTCGGCTAAGGAGAAGTACATACACGGAGCTCAGTGTGGAGAATTTACATGTGGACATAACGGCTTAAAGGGTTAAAACAGACTGGCAGTGATGCATGCATCTTTACATCTCCCTACCAAACAAAAATTAAGGTCGAAGATACCACATTTTTCTAATTCCCCACTGACACTGAAAAGTAACACCTAGCACTAGGTAAATATTCTTCATTAAATCAGTTGTTGTTATTGTTACCTCTATTTCCTCAGTTGGGTCTCTTTTACTCTTATCAACAACCTGTTGAATGAAAAATCAGCAGATTCAATGTCTGAAACTGGACTGATTGCTTTATTTAATGGCCAATGACAAACTCAACCCACAATAACATAGGGTTTGGACACCAGGACTTAATCCAGATGACATTTGGGGTCATGACTGTTCTGTCCCTTATACCGCAATCAATTGACTGTTAAAGGCAGTAGGGTGATTTCAGTAAATAATTCATAGAATATTTGTGGAGAGAAGAATTCAGAAAAAAATTCTGAGTTCAAGGATGATTTCAGGAAAAAAATTTCCTGCAAACAGAATTGATGCAAACAATTTTTTTTTTTTTTTCGTGGAGGCATGAGTGGCCGAGCAGTTAACACCTCACACTCCAGATCTGGAGGTCTGGGATTCAAGTCTTACCTATCAGGTTATTTCCTTAGACAAGGAACTTTACTCCAATTTGTCTCTCTTCACCCAGGTGTGCAAATGGGTACCAGCAACATACTGCTCGGGGAGTGAGGGGAACCCTGCAATGAACTAGCATCCCGTCCAGGAGGACGTAGAAATACTCCTAGGCATGCATCATGCTAAGAAAACCGGGATAAGCTCTGGCCTTTGACTCGTGTTCACCTTTACTTTACCTCATCTTTTTTTCATATTCCATAGGGTTGTTAGTCATATATTTACACAAAAAAGGCAGAAAAATTTGATTACAGTGATAGGCTAATAGGCATGGTAAAAAAGTCCTGCACAAAACTGACCCCAAAATAAATTGCCAAACTCCCTTACCCGCTAAAGAGTTCCTTCATAGTTTTCAAGAGATTTTTGAAATGGCACAGTCCTTACCTTAACAGCATACTCCTCTCCAGACACTTTGTGAATACATTTTCTACATACTGAATATGACCCTCTTCCAATCTCCTACAACAGAGGAAAAAAAGGACAATTACCACTATTTTACTAGGAACAAGAGGAGGAGTGAATACAGTTACTAGACAGATAGATCTCCTGTCATCTGCTTTCCACCTGTTTTTCTTGTTTGGCTAACAATATTTGGGCCCCTCACAGCCAGAGAAGAGTCTCTGAATGGCAAAAAAGATACTTGGGTCAAATTTATCACGTTTTGCCTAGTTCCATATGTAACTTTGCTCTTGGCTATGGCATTTTAAAGCATTTGCCAGCAAAACAATGAAGTGTGATGTACAACTACAACCAACTTTTACACAAAACTCACCTGCTTAATTTCATACTCCTCAAGGATTGATGTTGTCCTGATCTGAAACTTTGTAGGTACAGGCTACAAAAGAGAGAGCAAAAATAAACATGAAGATTTTCCCATTGACATAAAATATCTAATCACAGGAGACAGACTGAATGAAACTGTTTTGACCACCACAATTACAATGTCTTTATGTACATCCCTAATAACAAATATAGAAAGGACAGTGGTGGGTATACTTTTGTAACATAAAACATTTACTCCAATGATAAAAATAAAATTAACTTAAAGTTGTCTTAAGGACACAGACTAAGTGAAAACATTGATCCAAAACTAGCAGAACACCTACTTTGTGGTCTGTCTCCATTTTGTCTGATCCATTGGATGTCAATTGTGATTGTTCTTCCTGTTTCAATAAAACAACATCATTAGCTACATGCATTAAACCATTTACCCCTAGAGATTTCCCCCAAAAAATCTAGTCAGCTCCAAAACTACCCAAGTTGAGTACTAGGCTGGCTTTTGATCCTGATTCTAAATTACAGCCTCCAAAATCCACAAATTCTGTAGTCAGTATGTGAGAAGAAATTTCCCTCAGACAAAGTGCTTAATAATAACCTCATTCATCAATTTTTTTGGTAACCGCATTTTTTCCTTACCATAAGCTATCATAAAATGTACAATTTCTCTTGATGCAATAAAGGCTGTTGTTGTTGCTGTAATTGCTGTTGTTGTCAAACAATCATGCAACACTTTACTTACTTCTACAAGTGATGGGTCTACAAAACTAAATCCTCTGAACAGCTGGTGACAAGTGGCACTGGGAGGGACAGCGGGAGAATCTAGACAAACCAACCAGAAAATGAAGATTTTCTTATAAAGGAAAGTAGAATAGTATTAGTTTGCATTAGGGAAAGTTTGAGGTGAGCAAGTTTAGATTGAAAGGGCTTTAGTTTACTGCAATATACAAAGTTACATGTATGTACATGTAGTTGACTACTCAAGTCCGGTATGGTAGTAATGTGGGTCAAATTCTCAAGATTAATACCAAACAGGAATCATCCATGAAGGGGTAGGTTAAAACAACTGAAAGAGCAAATTCCCTGAAGTTTTAACAGTTATAGACTACCTATTATTGGTTCTTAATTTTGCAGGTACTTAATTTCACGGTTTTGGCAAGACAGTATTTCATGGGGTTTTGTTCTCGCAATTTTAACAAGTAAACATAAAAATAGAGAATTAAATTTCATGACTTAAGTGTTCTCAACATCATTTAAAAGTCTAAACCTTTAGGAAAATTAGATAAACTCGAACAAGAAATGTTTGAAATCTTTGCAAACTAAGGTCATTTCACAACAGAGGATACAAAATGGAGCTTACCAGTAAAACCAGAAAGCAATTTGTGTTTGTCGATAAGTACATTTTTGTATCATTGCTATTACATGTCAACTGTTATTTGAATTTTCTATAAGTGTATTAAATTTCACAGGGTCTTTAATTTTGAGATTTTTTTACAATTGCAGGAAACAAGAAATTAAAGACACATGAAATTAATTACCAATAAGGTAGTAATAACCATCTGTTAGGGAGTGTGGGCGAGGTTTCAGAGGATAAAACGCTCTTGCTCCAACACTGATGCTTTGCGAAAGTTGTGTGTGATTAGACAGTTAAAATGCACATGATCATATTACAATTTAAAGAACTTACAAAGGCACATCATCGGATCGCATTGTATACATTACATTCATTTTAAATGGCAGTCCAAACGAATGCTGACTACATATGTGTCAAGCAAGCATGTGTGATAGAACCCTGGAGATCAGGATTGCAGGCTTGTCTTGTCACAATTAGTGGTTTTCAATTTATCAGTAAGTTAATTGGCCAACAGTAAATAATAACAGGTAAACAAAATGTACCTTGAGGTGTCTTGGAAGTGAATTCAGGATCAAAATAAAATGCATCATCTGCTCTTCCAGCAGCAGGCTTGAATGGCGGTTTGAGCTCTTTTTTGAATAATTTCTGTCATATAGAAATGAAAAAATTTCTAGTCACACAAATTACATAAGTCACAGAGAAGAAGAGCTTCACAAAATCATGGTTCAATGCACACAGCACAGATTGCTGCTTTAACCAGTCCCAATGTCAGGTTGCATGCAGTGACTTGTCACTCAAACCTAAAAATGTACTAAACATCCATGTACAGAGTGGTTTGCCCAATATTGCACTTTTTTGTTACATGTACATCAATGACCTTTCTGCACTATTTTTTAAAATTACACATAAAAAAAGTAAGACTGATGGAACACAACATACCTCCCAGTCGATGGATTTAAAGAACCGGTGAGTTTTGATATCTTCTATACCATTCTCACCAAAACCTAAGAAAACATCAGATGTAGGAATTAATGTTTAACCAGCTCCATTAAAGTAGCTGACCGCTGAAAACCCACACTGTGCATGCCACATAAGAAGACTGATAACACCTGTGAACTCCTAACTTATGACAGAAAATGACGCCTTTTGCATAATATAGCTTAAATGCACATACCAAGTACATCTCCCAAAGCATAACTAAAATAAGCAATGACAATTATTCTGGGAGAAAGAGCTTTCGATTTGGCTCAGACAAGGCAAAGAATATGAAAAGGTTTTGGTCTCCCCGCCTACTTCTACTGATAAATATTGTTAAATGTTATAAAAACTTTGATTTTACCAACAGTTTTGTTCATACTTTTTGACATGACACTTCAAGCATAGTAAATATCTAGTGAAAGGAAAGCCCATGCAAAAGTAACTGGCAGCAAAGACAATGAAGATTCAATTCAAGCTACAGTGTAGCTCAATAGTTAAATATTAATAATATGATCAAATATTAGTTAGCAAGCACTTCGACCCCAGTCATATTTTGTAGAAGAATTTCTTCAGTTTTATAGGTTTTTACTTACTTATACTTACCTAATCTATTTGCAGGGTTTCGCTTGAAAAGCAGTCTTAGTAAACTTTGGGCATCCTGTGACAGAAATTGTGGCATGCCAAGCTTGGCCCTGTCGTTACCAAAAAAAGATTTGGTTACAACTCATCAGTTAGATTACACTTGCTTTTTTCCCCACCAATGCAAAGCATATATTTTACTCACTTTAAGATCATGTTCATTGTATCTTTTCTGTCTTTGCCTTGAAATGGCAGAGCTCCAGTCAGCATCTCATACTGAAAATTTACAAAAGCGAAAACTATAATATTTTTGGTTCTAATGAAAAGATTTTGACATCGCAGTTTTCCAAGACATGGTAGAACAGTCAACACCTGATCCTAAACAAATGCTGGGTCAAAAAGAGCTGTAAATAACATGGTGTTGTTAAACCATACTGTATGTGAAAAAAGGTTTTGTAATGTGGTGAGTGGCATCCTAGTTGCTTCTCATCCCACAGGTTCTGAAACTAAGTTTCACTTAGTCCAAGCACTTTGTTTGGCTCTTGCCCTTTGCCAGCATGGCGAAGCTGCTTTTGTTTGCAAGAGAGCTTCTCTAGCCTTCGCAAACTGTCTGTCAGTGAGTATACTGTAATGTTTTTTCTTTTTCCCCCAATAAATGGTCGAAACTCTGTAACAGAGACGTCAATGTGTTAGGTTCATATTTGTCCCCGTTTTGCTTACCTATGTTTAAAACAAAGTGAGCTAAAAGTTTGTCAAGTTCTTGCTCTGATATATGTTTTCAAGAGTTCCTGTTTTGCTAAAAGTTTTTGCCCAGCTGTAAAATAGGTTAAGGTCACTTTCTGTCTTCTTAGTTGTGTTTTTGTTTCAGTTTTCAGTAATAAAATTGTCAATGTCTTCATCATTGAGTTGTCCAATTTCTGTTTGTTCTGTCTGTTCAGTTAAGTCAGTTTAGTCAATAAAAGTTCATCGTCAGTAAAAAAGTCAAGTCCAAAGGGCCCAAACAAGTCAAATTAGGTTCGTCCGCCAGTTCATCGAGTTCAGCCATAGTTGCTCCTCCTGCATCTGCCGGTATTCACCCTGTTGTAAACTGGTTAAACCAGGACACAACAACAGTGTATTACAGCCTGGTATTTTGCGCACGTTCTCTTGCACGTTCTATATGGTAAAATGACATAATAGTGTCATCTATTGTGACTTAACCCTTTAAGTCCCAATAGTGAACATCATCAATTTTCTCCCAACGATATCCATACATTGTCAAGAGACTACGTTATGAGAATTAATAAAATGATCACCTAAGAGAAAATCGCTTGATCTTTTATCAAATTCTCTCAACTCATTCTTGAAGGAAATATATAGAGATCAGTTTGGAGAATTTGTAAGTGGATATTGGGGCTTAAAGGGTTAAACTGTACATAAAAAAGCATTTTTCATACCATGAGAACTCCATATGACCACCAGTCTGCTGCTTGTGAGTGGCCTCTTCTGTTTACAACCTACAATAAATTGAACATTCATGAGTAACTTACATTTCAAAGAATGTAACTTTCTTATGGTCCTCTCAACTCTTGTACTACAGTAAAAACCCGCGTATAAGAACCTAGTGATTTAAAAACCTACAGGCTCAAATTTTGCATTTTAATACCCAAAAATATAAGAACCTATTTAGCCTGACAAAGAAAAATAGGTTCTTACATAAAAAAAACACTCCAGGCCCATGATACAGGACTTGTTTCAACAACAAGGCTTGACATTTTTGTAAATGCTTTACAATTATAGCACATTAGTACTATTGCAGATCCCCGAATGCTATCACTATAATAACTTTTGCAAATGAGAACCTACTAAGAACTTAATCAGCCTGTTATTGGAAAAATACCCCAAAATATAAGAACCTGTTCAGCCTGACCTCAAAAATTCTAGGTTTTTACATGCGGGTTCTTACTGTAGTCAACCACCTTGGGTCTTATATTCATGCCTACAAAATAATCTTGAACTTCAATTCTCATTATGAAAAGCACACTCCAAGAGAAGTAAAAATTTTGTCATCCCTTGCAATGTATTTAAAAAAACTTTGAACATCTTGGGAAATCTGTTGGGCATAAAAATCTCCACACCCTTTGACTCGCTGTTGCAAATGTTTACAGGTACACATGTACATTGAAGAATATTCACTGAGCTCATAAGACACTCTTATTCCCCTGAAGCTCCAATGATCCAGAAAAAACTTGTTGTAACAGAAGAACCACCTACTCACCAAAAAATCTTTTAAAGTGTAACAATAAATCCTTCATATTACACTACATGTATATGATGATATTAATTCTTGTTTCTCAACGTTTTTGTTCAATAAAAACATCATTATTATTATTAGGACATAAAATAAAGCAAATGTGAATAAATAACGGCACCATACTCATAACCGTTTGTTCTGGAATGCATTTTAAGGCTAACTAAATAATTGAAATTCCATGATGGGAAAAGAGGGTGGCCCCCACTTCCCCTACCCGCAGTACCCCCACACATGGGTGTGCCACATGGAAAGCACTCTACACCTTTCAATCTACTTTACTGCCACCTACTCAAGTTTTATCACCTTCCTCTTAAATTTCCAAGAAATATGTGACTTACCTCCGGGGCCATATACTCCACTGTTCCACAGAATGAATAAGTCTTCTGGTCATATTCAGACTCTTTTGAAAGCCCAAAATCTAAGCCACACACAAAGAAAATATCAAAAACAAAATTTAATAATAAGCAAGCAGATAGTGTATGTATCATTAAAAAAAAACAGATCAAGTAGAAGAAGACAAGGGTGTCTACACTTTCTGAAAACAACTTTTGCATGGCAAGTCTTACACCATTGAAGGGTTAATTTAATTCAAGCTGTCTAAATGTACAGTTTAATCTGGGTGTTAAAAGACACAAACCTGTGAGTGTGACGTGGCCAGAAGCATCTAGTAAAATACTGAAAAAAAAGTCAAAGATTAAGAATTAAAAAAGAAAGGTTGAGTGCAACATTCTATCTATTTCCGGTATAATACTGAATTCAATGCTATACATTTTATATTGATGTGATGATGTTTGATACTGCTTTACAATAACTAAAATATAAAGTAGATGTAGACTAAAAAAATACAGAAAGCTATCAACTGTATAATTTTAGATTGCACCTTATAGCCAGGTATTTAACATTGCTTAATTTTCAGTTTATCAAGTTGAAAGAAATCGTGTTGAAAAGTTTGAGGTGCCTCATATTGTACTTGGATACTTAGAAAGAGTTTTGGATTGTTATGATGGTGTGTGTATATTCATCAACTATATTGCAGAGACAAAATGTTTCAATTCTGTCTACATGCATCATCTATTTTTTAAACATTAAATACAAGATCCCTTAATCAGCTTACATTTATTTTGTACATGATCAAGACCCTAATATAGGCAAAATTGGCCTAGGCTGTAATCATTTTGTTAGCCATGGTGAATATATATAATGGCAACTAATTTGCCACCCTGAGATTTAAAATTAATTTGGCAAGTGACCAACTGCACATTATTAAATATTTTTAAATTTTAGAATGGCTGGTTATTTTTAGCAAATCCTTTTCTGAATACATGTATCATCACCAAGCAACCAAGTTAATTATGGTCAACACACATATAATAATATACCAGACTCAAAATATTAACTCACTTAATCAATGTTCCACATGGGAAACAAAGACTCATGAATAAAAACAATGCCTAAACTCTTAATTAAAATTATTAACTGCTCACCACAGTTCAAGGTAATCCAAAAAATAAGAGGTTTAGACCACAGGCAAATTGTTGCTTTGGACAACATACATGTACATATAGGTTTAGTTGCTAACCAATTTATTCAAAAACCTAAAAGTAGTGCTCAAAATAGGAAACAACTTGGCAAGTTAATTTATAATAATATGTAGCGGTTCAATTATTATTCTTTGGTTTAAGGATTTCAAACCACTTTGGTTTTTGCTTAAGTTCATATCAATCTATTAAAAACAAAGGAAAACGACAATATTATTTTAAAGTAGTTTTGCTAATTTTAAACCAAAAAAAATTATTTGAACCACATCAAATATTTGTGAACTATTTCAGGAAATGTTATGCATAACATACTTTTCTGGTTTGAGGTCTCTATAAATAATTCCTATTTTGTGAAGATGATCCAGTGCTAATGCTAACTCGGCAAGGTAAAATTTTACATCTTCTTCTGTAAACATTATCTGCCGAGAAAATGTATTAAGCACTTGGTTTGTATCCAAACAGTAAAGCAAAAGGATTACACAAACTTAATAGTAATATTATTCAATTAATATTGTTAGATTAAGCCTATTATTCGCCATATTGGCCATAAAGGCAAAAATTCCAAATCTTTCAAATTACTTCTTTTCAGTGTGCAAAGAAAGTATTGTCCGATAGCCCGGGGCTAGTGGATTTTGCTATCAGGTTTGTGAAATCTGTTTTTAACTTGCCCGACGGGCAAGTGATGTTCTTTGAGGAATTCGAAAAACAGAAGAAGTGTGAAATCAATTCTGCTCGACGAAAAACTTTTGGGGCTAGTTGAAATGACGTCTGGGCTAGTAAATGCTAGCTTCAGCTTGCCCAAATGGCAAGGTGTAAAAATGATTTTCTTTGCACCCTGCTTTTGTAAAAATCCTATTCAATTAATAGAACCATGCAAAAGATCTGTTGAGGACATTATTCATTTCAATATTAACTCAATAGGATTTTGCGCACAGAATCAAAAGCTAGATTGATGATTCATCTCTCAATAACATGGTCATCATATGGTGACATGGTAACAGATTACTGGTTACACAATCCAAAAATTAAATACAGGGTTCTCATTAAGTGCCCGCAACCGGCCAAAAAACCGGCCACCTACTTTGGAGCGCAAATGGGAAAAGTGAAGGAGAGAAAGCCTCAAATTGCCTACAACACTTGATTGCCAAGCCAGCTGCTTTCACATCCTAGCTGTCTACTTTAAAACTTAATGAGAACCCGGTAAAATAAAATATCACAGGAATTAATTCAACATGCAGTTTTTTTATAATAACTCATTTTGATCCACATTTTTCAAAACAACTATATAATACTATAATTATTTATATGAGGAGCAGCAGCATATCAAGTGCATGGGATAGCATGACAACTTCATGGTCAAATCGAAGGGGACGTAAAGGAATCCACACTACTGTCTCAAAAGAGAAGGGGACATTTCCCAATGGTGTGCAGGGCTCAAAGTTGACGACTAACTGGTCACATATGCCACTGGATTTTTGGTTGTGTGCCTAAAAATCCATGTGTAATCGCACCTGTGCACCATAAAACCCAAAGCAAAGTGCAACTGGCCTGCTTCCGACCATACTTACGTACTCAAACTAGAAAGACGCTAAACAGTAGCTTCAAGCAATGAAAGTAAAACGCAACCAGGCTCTAAGTTACATTGTCTTCCTTTCCGTCCTTTCTCCCAACGTCAATCCAAACAAAAACAGCGCGGATTAAAAGCCTTTTTTTTTAATCAGGGAAGAAAGTTTTTAACTCATATTTCAGTTACATGTAAGTCATTGCGCTTTTAACAAATTCATTGAAGACAAATTTTCATACTTGTTTGAGGTACTCTTTTTTTGTTTTGAATTTTTTTCAAGTGTAGGTTTTCTTTAGTCACAACTGTACTGTCAAAAAGAGAAATTAGTATTAAAAATCCCGATGGTATTACTGCGTAGCAAATTGGCTGTGTTTTATCAATCACAGGACTGAAATAACAGTAAAATCACATATAAAGTGGCACTTCTTCTTTTGAAATAGATGCTCCCAACATTGTAAGCTGTGCTCCTAGAATTTTTAGCTGTGCGCCTAAAAATTTACATCTGGTAGCACAAGCGCTCGCCAACTCAAATTTAAACTTTGAGCCCTGGTGTGGTCTAACTAATACATCTCATTCACCTCATGGCAAGGGTCAGTAACAGTAAGATCATAAACGGACTGATAGCAACCGCCAGTGGTGCTATTGTGTGCAGACATCGAAGCTTAATGTTAACATGTTACCGTAGAATGTAAAGAGGGAACATCTTTAATCAACTCATTTACAAAATTATTTTTATTCATTCATTCATCCATTCATTAATTTATTCATGACAACTTACTTGAAGGTGAACATTACACAAAATCAATACCAGCATGAAGTAAATAATAAAGAGCGTGGTGGCGCGAGGTAAACTATAAAGGCTTACAAAGTATTACATGTACATGTATGTTACTCACCTCTTTCGAAAGTCTTGTAAATAAATCTCCTCCTCTTAGAAAATCAAGTATAAGGTACACTTTGCCTTCTGTTTGGAAAGCTAACATTGAAATAAACAAAGTAACACTTAGATGTCAACGATCAATAAGTGTAAGTGACATGATAAACTGTTAAATACTCATTCAAATTTGCTTTGTGTATGCTAAAAGGAAATTTGAACTCTGATCAGGAGTTGCTAAGGGCCTCATTGCATTCACCTTTTATTATTTACTCAGTGCTGTAGTTCTAAATTTTGGAGAGCTAAGTTGCTGTTGAACAGTGTTTTATTAGCCAATGACAACAGCTCTTAAGTGCCAGTAAAATAACTTTTACGCCACTCTGCTTAAGGAATTTCCATTTGAAAAAAAAAGAATTCTGTTAGATTTTTAAGTGTTTTAAATCTCAGGGTAAAGCTGTTTCATTTTCTCATTTGAATTACTCCAGAAAGCAAATGCCAGAGTACTTTTTTTTTCCTTTTAAAACCACTTTGCTCCCAAGCTGCTGGATGGAATTTACCTATGAATTCTACGAATACTTTAAAAGGTTGCCTTCAAAAAGCCACTACATAGTAACTCCCAATATATTATTGAATTAGGATATTATAATACAAGTAAATGGCAATTTCACAGGGAAAAAAAGCAAGAGCTACATGTGACGTGGTTGACAAGAAGCATTCCTCTCTACGACTTTCCCAACTATAGCTGCTTATAAGATTTTCAAGTTGCTTTATAATACGGTACAATATACAAATGTTAGTGTTGTCATTACAAGATCTAATCAGGATCACAATAAAAGGAATTAAATTTACATCAGAGTTTTACTCTAGTAAGGTCAAGAGCAAACGAGTTGTCAGAGAGGGGAATGTAAAACAACATAAAATTTGAAAACCAGCCTCACCATAGCGAAGTTTAACTATGAATGGATGTTGAACATCCACAAGAATATCCCTTTCTTTTTTCGTTCTTAATCGATCACGAACTACAAGAAGAAAAAGAGCAACAACCATAAAATAAATGCGCATACAGAAAGGGCATTAAGTCAAAATACCCAATATTACAGAGATAATAACTCAACAGATATTGAAAATCTAATTTGTGATAAAATATAAGCTTAGATAACTTAACGCATATTTAGCTACATTTCGAAAATCTACATTTCTACGGACACTAGAACTCCGAAAGATATTTATCGACCAAAAGCCGGTCACAGTCGAAGACAGGGCCTATTAAAATCAATATCAACTTTGTACATTTCAGCTTCTTCTCACGCAAATAAGCTTAAATTTTCAACCTGTTCTTTAAACCCCAAGATAAAGATAGTTGTTTTCCACAGTTTGAACTTTGACGTAAAAACATCTTGAAAATCTCAGGGCGACCAAACATTCACGAGCAACAACAAACATAATTTTTAACCAGCTTAAGTTACCTTTCAAGGTCGCCTTTTTGAGAACTTTCATTGCGTACAGATTTCCTCGGTCCGTATCAGTTAATTTGCGCACCAAGAATACCTGAAAGAAGGCGGTTTAATAACTAAACAGATAGTAGTAATAAAACGTTTTCCCCCCATTTAACATAATGATGAATAATGGTTAAACTGCAGGAGTGTATAAACAGTAAAGGCAACAATGAATAAAGATAATTTAAAGCGCGAGAAGGTCAATAAAGCCTTGTAGATTGCCGCCACTCGCTAAGTAATGGCGCGAATGATCAAACGCGCTTCAACAACAGTTACCCTAAAAAAACCACTAAAAAATACAGCTGCAAATAAAATTGAGTTATACGAAATTACCTTGCCAAAAGAGCCTTGTCCTAGGACTTTGAGTAGCTCAAATTGTGACGGGTCTGCCTTCAGACAGGCTTTTGAGTTGACGACTTCCTCAGATACATCGATGAGGGACGATGTCTCTTCTTCGACAGGCTATGCACAGAAGAAATTTCAGTCAATTCAGGATTGAAATTTATGAACTAAACACATAAGCTTGACAAGATAGTCGGCAATATGGGCAGAAACCAGCTTACTCCGTTTTTATTTACGTCGGTCATTTCTTCGTCTGCGACCTGAGAAAACGGAAATTTGAAAAAATTCGAGTGAGCTTCAAACTTTCATTCGAAATTGAAAAATTTGGGGAAGCTACAGCAGAATTTGAAGAAATTCACCTCCATCTCCTCTTCCACTTTCATTTTCTGCCAAGGGTCAGCTAAATATGCCAAAGGCATGGTGATTTTCTCCGTTTCCCTCTACAAAATCACTCTCCTCGTAATCCGACCTTCAGTCAACATGGTCCTGCTCGATATTTCTTTCAGAACGAGGCTAAAGCCACGCCAAAAAATGCGTCTTTCCACTTAACCGGAAGCGGAAATGCAGCAGGCATTCGCGTGATTGACTAACCCCGAGTTATGTTTATTCAGAAATTACAGTACTTTTTTTGTCCAAGCGCCTTCATTCAAGCACAAATCTACAATCGAGGGTCAATGCAAATTGCATAAGCAAAAAAAAGAATTAAAGAGTGTGGCGTCGAGAGGAAGTCGAAGAGAAACTAAAAGTTTTTAAAATTTCACTTTGCGGCAAAGCAAAAATGCTCAGCTGTAACCGATATTACATCAAAACTAAAATTATCTAAGTAACAATAATTTAGAATAATTTCTTTTGTTTTTTCAAAAATTATTGACTTATATTTCATATTTTATATATCAAGTTACCAAAACTTGGCAATGCTAAACTAAGACTAGTAACACACGTCACGTTTAAATATATCATTGACGCGAATAGAATGTAAAACTAAAGTCTAAATGTCAAATAAATCCTTGTTTTTATTATTTTGAAAAATATATTATAGTGGGAATCGAAAAAATTATTCAATAGTTGAATCCACTAGTTATTCAGCGGTTGTTACTGAATTCCAAACTGACCGTCGATTGCGAAATAGGCTAAATGCTATTCAATCGAGCGATTAGTAGCCTCAGATCATATATAGCTACTGAAGGTCTTAGATCGTTCGTTTGGTACCATTGAATCACGAATCGCTTCGAGCGCTTCCTTGAACAATAAACCTAAAAATCGTCTTGTTTAGACAAGAAGCTAACGCTTTAACTCCTTTTCTTCACAAGGCATGATGCAATATACAATATGTAATTTATAACTGAGCTAAGATCTAAGCAGAAATTTATAGAACGCTGTCTCAATGAATCCTTTCTCGTACCTTGTTCACCATCTCTCGAATTTCTCCGAGGCTAGGCAATATTTCCGAAGTTTTACTGTCTATTAAAAATCAACCACCGCTTATGTATCCACTCTTTCCTCAATGTCAAATGTCTGTGAATTTTGAAGAAGTAGTCCAATATGATCTTGTGATGGTCCAGCACGTCTCATAAGCGACAAATGTCTTTTGAGGATCGATGTATGTTTTGTAGTCATACAGAAATTTGCATAGAGCTTCTCATCACTTCCGGAATCTTCGATGACGTCATCGATAGCCGTACAAAGTTTGAGCTCGCGGTTTCCGTCTGAGGACAAGAATCTATTCACAACTTACTGGAATTAATCCAAAGAAAAAGACAGTTGTTTAACATCAATGAGCATTTTGACCACAACCAATGTGATTTTTTAGCATAATTAGAAGCTTGATAACAAAACTATTACAGCCAAGAAAGGAGACAACAGCTACAACAGTTTTTTCGAAAGGTCATGACCCCAAAAACGTCACACCTACACGGTACAAGGGAAACATATTTACTTTGCTCGGAAAGGAAATTATAAAATTGCATATGTCTTATATTTTCCCATAAAAGCCTATATTTAACAATCGTACGTTCTGGGTGGCGGAGGATCTACTGAATTTGGTGAGTTAGATTCACTTTTTGGTGCTGTATATGTAAGAAAATTGACAACTACTTCCTCAAAGTGGAGTCCTGAGTCTAGATAAGAATGAAAGGTTGAAATGCTTAAAAGCTGGAACGGTAGTTACAAAATCACTGACAAATATAGCATAATGACGGGATTTTGCTAACACTCACCCCAATTATGGGTAAAACAATTACGCGCGGTCAGTCCTGGCAAGTCTAGTAATTAGTAGTTCCTGCATTTCAGTTTTATAGCAAAATGTGGTATACGATTTATTCTTTATAGGTAAGTCACGAAAACGATATGAAAGCGATATAAGGAAGTAAGTAAGTAAAGACTTTATTTTATGAGGGTTAGCACGAAATAGCCGGGGCTAATAAACTTGTGGCTCTCTAAATAATGACTAAATAAATAAATAATAAAAAATAAATGAGTATACTACGCTATAAAAATACAAGGTAAAAACCAAGGAATACAGATTTTTATATACTATACCCCGGGATACCATACTTTAGTAAAATCCAACTAGTGGTCTATTATCAATGCTGCGTTCTGATTGGTTGAGCTACTACTAGGCTATATGTGATAGCCCACTAGTAGCGAGAAGCGCGGGCTTTTTGGCGACAAAAAGGATTAAAGTCTATCTTGAATTAGCTAAATTTTTTTTGTTCTCGATATTTTTGACCAACTAGTTGGATTTTACTAAAACAATTACTCCTCTCCCCCTCATGGCCTCTGAGTCAATAGCCCATTCGGCCTTCGGTCTCATGGGCTATTGACTCAGCAGAGCCCATTCGGGCTCGAGGAATAATTGTTAAATATCTCGTTCTAAACTTTAATAAGTCTCCGATACCTTCAAGTTGGTTAGCCATTAAAAAGGAGACGTAAGGCATAGCACCGACAAATTTTGTTATTGTGGCTGATAATTTGAAAATAGCTGGAAGGAAAACAATTAAACTTCTCACAAACAATTGCCACAGTTTTCCCGTTAGCATGACAGCGGTCCGGGAAGAGAGTAAATTGATCACCACCGCACTTTGATGATTGGTGAGGTTCTTTGGATCGCATTACTTAAATAGATGGTTGGATTAACTCTTAGAGAATTATACAGAAGAAAGACGTGTTGAAGCATTATTTCCCCCAATTTCCGTCATTTTTGTCAGACGAGGTTTTCTTTATCGAGCGGCGAGCGGAAGTGATTTAGAAAGGGTTTTGTTTTCTGTTGCTACTGAAAAACAATTGCGTAATAAAGACAATGTCCGAAAAGTTTACCGTCACTTACTGGTGCTCTCGGGATCTTCATGAAAACAATTTTTATTGTTTGGTTTGGGGTGGGTAGGGGGTTACAAAATACTGATAATTTTTTGATTCTCTCTTGTCAGAGCCTCGAACTCTCTGTCTAGGCATGTTTAGTAGATGTCTGGGGATAGGAACGTTTTGGTAGCCGGGTAGGGAAGTGTTTATTAAACATGCCACCAAGTCAATCTTCGTTTCTTTCCAAGAGGCGCTAGAGTTCAGGCAAAAGCAAAAGCGAACCACAAATTTTTAAACCCAGGAGCTTAACACCTGACACAGCTCTAAACTGATGCATGCACATAATTCGATATCATTTCAACGTCATTACATAATAAAAATAAAAGAGTCTCTGAAATTTATAAACTTTTTAGAGTCGGCTTTTCAAGTTTTCGAACGGTTTTTTTCGCTTGACCATATAATGAAGGGAGATAGCAGTCTCTGGAACTTTTGTCCAGCGTGGCACGGGCATCCGAAGGCAAAGCTGAAAATGAACGGAGTTAAGGTGCGCCTGGCTTCGCGTTCACTAGAACTTGAATTCCCGATCCTTTTCTCATTGGAACACCTGGAACTTGCCAATCGCGATCTCGACACATAACCGCCGAAGCATGAATTAAAAGGGGACAGTGTTAAACAGTTCAAAAACGAGGTAATCGTTTCAGTGATAGCCTGCGAACGGCAGACGTTTCTCCCCGCTCGTCGCCGCTGAGGGACGTTTCACGAGGAGAAACGTCCCTCAGCGGCGATGAGCGAGGAGAAACGTCTGCCGTTCGCAGGCTAATTCAGCGATCATCCGTAGATCTTCACATGGTGGCATCGATGGTAATCCGTTTACTGACCTGATTTTGACAAAGTGACGAAGGGTGTTGAGCATGGGGTGTGTTTCATTGTTTCGAATTCGCCACGTTACATGTATATCCGGATTTTGCTCCTACATTAGATGCGCCCCTAGATAAGAAAAGCTTCCGGCTTGTCATCATCCCTTTCCATTACAGGTGTCTGAATGACATCACTTAGCGAATGATTACAATAGCAGCCATCATAATCAGGATACCTGAGAGCACACCTGAAAAGTTTAATCTGCGAGGAGAAATAAAAGAACACATTCGATCTGTCTCTTGTTGGCTGCCTCAGTTCCAGCGAGAAGCCTGACTATGCCGCGGTATGAGAATCACTGAGGCCTTTCTAGGGTGGAAAACGAGGGAAAGAGAGAAAGCGTGAGAGGAGCTAAGGTTATACACTGTACAGAGGGGTTTCTTTCATGGGTGAGGCCATGTTATGTTAAGAGCGTTCTGACTCCGCTCACAACAGTAAGTGTATTTCGGGGAATCAACTGGATAATTAAGCAGTCGCGTGACTAATATGGTACGTGCCGCCGTGAAAGAGGTTTGGTTTCGGTCGCTTTAATCTGGAAATTTCTGCGTGTGTCCTGTGGGATACTGAAAAATAAAACAAGTTTTGGGCAAAGTGGGCGAAGCTCCCTATTACCTTTCCATTACGTTTTGACCAATAAATTCTACAGCTGAAAGCTAGGCATGGCTCGTTATGCCAGCTTAAACATCTAAAGCTTGTCTAAGCTTGAGTTAACACGCAATCGGCAGTCCCGATTGATTGTGACTCCATCACCCTTTGGTATTCTTAATTAGTTGTATCTAAGCGACCGAGTTAAAACACGGTACGTCCGTGTATCATGTGAGAGGTCGTGCTTAACGCGAAACAGGCGCATGGAATAATCCAGATGCCCACTCATGCTACACCCTTGTCCACCCTCGACTNCAGGCAAAAGCAAAAGCGAACCACAAATTTTTAAACCCAGGAGCTTAACACCTGACACAGCTCTAAACTGATGCATGCACATAATTCGATATCATTTCAACGTCATTACATAATAAAAATAAAAGAGTCTCTGAAATTTATAAACTTTTTAGAGTCGGCTTTTCAAGTTTTCGAACGGTTTTTTTCGCTTGACCATATAATGAAGGGAGATAGCAGTCTCTGGAACTTTTGTCCAGCGTGGCACGGGCATCCGAAGGCAAAGCTGAAAATGAACGGAGTTAAGGTGCGCCTGGCTTCGCGTTCACTAGAACTTGAATTCCCGATCCTTTTCTCATTGGAACACCTGGAACTTGCCAATCGCGATCTCGACACATAACCGCCGAAGCATGAATTAAAAGGGGACAGTGTTAAACAGTTCAAAAACGAGGTAATCGTTTCAGTGATAGCCTGCGAACGGCAGACGTTTCTCCCCGCTCGTCGCCGCTGAGGGACGTTTCACGAGGAGAAACGTCCCTCAGCGGCGATGAGCGAGGAGAAACGTCTGCCGTTCGCAGGCTAATTCAGCGATCATCCGTAGATCTTCACATGGTGGCATCGATGGTAATCCG